CCCGCGCCCGCCGCAGCGGCACTGCGGCGGCCGCGGCTTTTTTACCATATATGGTCACGGCAGCGCTCGGGGCCGCCGGCAGGCGCCGCGCTGATTGGCGGAGGCGGAGCCGCGGCGCGGCAAGTGCGCGCCGGTTAACCCTTGCGCTGCCGCAGCCGAGCCGCTGCTGGCGGGAAACCGCCCTAAAAGGGGGGGCTGCGGGGGGCAGGGGTCGGACAGGAGCTTGGGGGGCTTTGGGGGTTTTGGGGGTTTTGGGAGCTGGGCCCGGAGCTGCCCCCAGCCGGACGAGCCCCACGATGGGGTATTTGGGTGACCCGCACCCATGGGTGCTGCTGGGGGCACCCATGGGTGCTGCTGGGGGCTCCTCCCTGGGGGGCTGGGGGATGCTCAGGGGGGGGGGGTCGGGGACCCGAAGGAGGAGGTCCGAGGGGATGCTCTGACCCAGCTCCATGAAAATTTGGTGGTTTGCTTTTTTTTTAATTATTATTATTATTTTTTAGCTAAAAAATTGGGATTTTGGTTGTTTTTTATTTATTATTTTTTTATTTTTTATTATTATTTTTTAATTTTTTATTTTTTTTTTCTTTTAATTCACCCTCCGGAAAGCAGCGCTGTCGCAAAGGAGCCCTTTTGTTGTGGCCCTGGCTCTGTGCTGGGGGGGGTGGCAGCCCGCAGCCCCCTTGGCACCCCCCCCCCCCCCATTTTTTGCCCTTTGCCCTCCTCCTTGCACCCCGCCTGCATTTTCATCACGTTCGGCTGGAGGGGTGTGAGTGGCCCCCAGCTGCTTTTTCCCTGATTTTTTAGGCTGCCCCTGGCAGCCCCGGTGCTGGCGGTCGTTCCCCCAGCAGCGTCCTTTTGGGGTGTCCCCCTGGCATCGTGTCCCTGGGTTATGCAGGGTGCAAGCTTTGTGCATGAGCACGCTTACAGCAGGGCTGCGGGGGGACCAGGAAAGGAAGGTAAAATTAAAATTAACATTTAAAACTTACAGCTAAACTGAAATCTGAAGTCTGGGAACAAAATCACAGAATTGGAGGGGTTGGAAGGGACCTCGAAAAATCATCGGGTCCAGCCCCCCTGCCAAAGCCGGTTCCAGTTTTAACAGAAAATCAGAAAAATGGAAAAAAAAAAACAGAGATGAGTTTTAACAGAAATAGTCGGAACTTCCCTCAAACAGCTCATCCAAGGGCTGAGACATTTACGGCCCCGGTGAGCTCTCCTTCAGACAGGTGGGATTAAATCCCTGCAGGGGGGTCAAGTGCTGGTGGGATCACACCCAGGGGACAGGATTGGATCTGTACCTTAATTACAACCTAATTTCTGGGCAACACATCCCCTGGTTTGAATCTCTGTGTCCCCTCTGTGTCCCCTTCCCCGACTGGAAGCTCAATTTTGAGGCTTTTTTTGCACCGAGCAGCGGTGCCAGCCCTGCAGGACCCTTCCCAAACCCCAAATCCCTTCCAGCCCGGCACTGCTGGGGCTGGGCTGGCTGCGTGCAAGGCTCCAGCCTGCCACTGCCTTGTTCCTCTCTCCTCTTTGTGTCCCCTTCACGTCTGGGCACCCCCGAACAAGGGGGGGGCCGTCTGGCTCCTGCAGCAGGCGGCGGCTGCGGCTCGCGCCGTGCAGCTGCCGGGGTGAGCGCAGTGCCCGGGGGGGGGGGCTGCAAGAGATATCAGTAGCAAGAAGCTTTGCACGCCTCGAATCTCTCCTTGCACAGCCCTCCAGAAGCCCTTTTTGGGAGCAGCACTCATCCTAATCCTCCCAATTGGCTACGGCTGGCTGCGAAGCTCCGAGTCTCCGAAAAGCGCAGATGGAGAAGGAGCCCCCCTCCGAGGGGAACGGGCAGCGGTCAGCTTGGGTTTCACCCCGAGCAGTTGCGCCCCGATTTCCTGCTGCAAACTTCTGCAAAGCCAGGGTGGGGAAATGGTTGAAATCGCCGGGGTTTGTGCAATTCGATGCCACTTCCCCCTCGCACGCGGCGGGCCGGGGGAAGCAGCTGTTCCCCCGCGATATTTTTACCAGAAGCCCGGAGCTGTTTCCTGCAGCCAATTGCCCTTTTCTGGCAAAGGAGCGATTGTGAGACAATCATATTAATTCATAAAAATCCTGCTTTTAGGAAGGGTTTTCCTGTGCTGCTTATCTGACCCTTTTGGGTTAAGAACTGAGCTTTTTTTTTTCTTTTTTTTCCCCTCATCTGTTGGTTTTCCTAAATGAATCCCCGCGGTGAGGTCAGCCTCCCACCTGCTGAAGGACCTGAACATCGAGCTTCCAGTCCACATCCCCCAGCGTATTAAAACTAATCCTCAAGTTCACCTTTTTTTGGCTTTTCTAACTATTTTTTTTTACACCTCCAGCTCTTGGGGTATCAAAAGCTGCTGGTGCTCAGCCGGAGCGGCCGTGGATTATGAGCAGGATTTAATTTCTGGAAGTCACAGCGAGTTAATTTTAAGCTGTGTATCAACACTTGAGATTTATTTTAAATCCTTCACTAATTAAAAGATTACCTGGGAAAAAAAATACAAGGAAACCTGGGAGGATTAAGTCAGTGTTTTAATGCGAGAAGTCCCTTTGGGCAGAGCCCCTCGGACAACCTCTGTGGGGCTGGTGCCCCGCCGGTCCCATGGGAAGGGGAACGCTTTCTAAGGAGGAAAAAGAAGCAGAAAAAAAGATGAAATGCCTTCAGAACGGCAGAGGGGAGCGCCTGCTTTCTGCTGGGGGTGTTTAGGGCGTTTAGGTGGGTTCTCCTGCCCGACGCCCCCCTTGGCACCCCGCTGCCTCTCCCTGGCAGCATCCTGCTCTGCCAGGGCAGCGGGACATCACCTGTCCTTCTTGGGGCTTTGTGAATAAACGTGCTTCATCTCCCTCACTGCATCCTAAAAACCTCTCCTTCTCCCCTTCCTTACTCTTTCCTTGCTCAGGATTTTTCCCTGTGACTCCCCGCACAGGGGCGCACCTTACAAGCGGCAGGTTTTTAGGTCCGAACTGCTGCTCACCTGCTTTGGGGCACCAAGCTATTTCTTGTTGTATTATTCCACTCAGCTGAACTTCTCCTTTGTGCATCTGCTCTTTTTTTTTTTCACCATCCAGATGCCGCGGGCCTGCGAGACGCCTGCCCTTCTGCTCCAAAATAGCCGCGCCGGGTAGATCTCCAGTTCCTCAGCTCGGTGGCCGGGCTGAGCTCCGTGCCCACTCGCCGTCCCATTTCCCCAGGTGGCCGGGGGAAGCCTCCTGCTCCTCCTCAGGCACCAGGCTGCCTCCCCTGCTCTGTTTTTGGGCTGCTTTTGGCTGCAGGAGCGAGGAGGGAGATGCTGCCAGCACCGGTCCTCCAGGCGCTGGCGGTGGTGGAGCCTCTGCCTCTCCTCCTCCCGGCTGCCCCTGGAGCAGCGCCGCTCGGGGAGCTGAAAGGAGCACAAAGAGGCGAGTTTAAAGACATTAAAGAGAGCTAATTTCAAAAACGAGCTCCGTGTGAGGTGCTCAGAAGCCCTCTGTGGCCAGCCGGCTGTCACCCTCGCTCGGCTCCTTGCGCTCGCGCTGCCCGGGTTCATCGTGATCAAAACCGAAAGGTGAACTTCGTGGCTTCATTCCTTCAAATTCATTTTTTTTTTTTTCCCACCTCCTTCCAGTAATAAATTACTGTAAAAACTCTAAGCTGAGCTGACAGGAGCTCGTGCAGCCTGCAAATAATCCCCCTGGGCTCCTCGCACAGGCAGGTACTCAGCGGCACGTCGCAGCTTTGGTCTTCTTTTTCCCTTTGGGCTGAGCCCTGTATTTATATTTGGCCTGTAGCGTGGCTCCTGAAATATCCTCATGATCTGTTCATGTGCTTTGCATGTTCCTTCTTTAATTAGCTAAATTAAATTGGATGGGCTACACGTATCAGGCGTGTTACCTTGTGAAACCCAATTGCACGTGCTGGCGTGCAGGAGGAATCGCGCAGACCTCGCTTTTTGGATGTGCTTTGTCGCTTTTCACCTACAACATCTTCACTTCTAATAATTTCAAAACCCTTTGAGTCACCGAGACGAGGCATTGATTTTTTTTAGGCATAATTTGACCCATTAGGAGATGGCTGTTGTTGTTTCTGTACCGTAACCCCGGCTCTCTGTGGATCTGGGTCTTGGTTCCTTGCGGTGGAGGTCTCGAGGTCAGCAGCCCTCCAAAGCCCACGTCCAGCATTATTCCGATCCTTTGCACCCAGGGCAGCTTGGAATAGGAAAAAGGAATAGGAAAAGCCCTCTGCGTGGTGATCAGGAGGAGGTGTAGATTAGGAGACATATTTTAAGAGAAATATTCCCCAGACGCCGTTTCCCTGGTGCGCATCACGACTTGACCAACAGAGATTATGGTGATTAGCCAGAGGTAATCACCAAGATTTAAGAGCAGGGATGGTGCAAGAGCTGTGCTGGCATCTCCGGGTCCCCCCAGGATGTTTCAGGTGGGAACATCTGAGTCTGAGTCTCCCGAGTCCCTTGGGAAGCCCCCCCAAGAGCCAGGTGGGGGTCAGGGAGGGGGCTGCGGCCGCTGTCCGCGTGTCGGCAGCGTTTATCTCTGAAAATAGCATTTGCTCTGCATAACCACGGCTTAAAAGCCTTCCGCCCGAGCAAAATACTTTCATGATGAAAGCGAGCAGACTCGGTGAACTCCACGAGCAGCAGCAACACCCTTCAATTAGAGAGCCAGCGTGGTTATCTTTAGCCGTCGCTGGCCGCCGCCGAAAAGCGCAGAGAAAACCAGAGCTTCCTCGTGTGGGCACGGCGTTGGGGCTGCCTGCCCTCCTCCCGAAATGTGGCCAGGAGCATTAGGAGACATCTTCCTTTGTGCTGTGCTCTGGGTCGTTGAGGTTTTACAGCTCTTTTCCTTCTTTTTCCCTCCAGACGGGCCGGATTGACAAGTCCTATCCGACAGTGTGCGGGCACACGGGACCGGTGCTGGACATAGACTGGTGTCCCCACAACGACCAGGTCATCGCCAGCGGCTCCGAGGACTGCACCGTCATGGTAAGTGGCCCGGGGTTCCCAAACGGAGCAGGGCTTGCTTCGCCCAAATTGGGGTGCTGCACATGTTTGTGATTCGGAGGGCAGATGGGGATCTGCTGCCCCGACACCGAGCGCAAATCCTTCCCGGTGTCAGAAGTCCCGGGCGTTCTCTCCATCACATTTTGGCTCTGCTCAAGGAATTACGGTGTCCTGTCTGCAGGAGACAGATGGGTGCTGGAGCAAAACCAGCTCTGGTACCTGTGTGACAGAATTTGCACCCTCACAACTGGTTCTTTTTCTGGAGAGGAGAACCTCTCCAGCTCCGAGGTCACGCTTGGTGGAGCTGGCTTGGCCGGCGGCTTTCTGGTTTCATCTCGAGTTGCTCTTCCATTTTTCCTTCCTCTGGGGATCCGTCTGCTGCTCGAGAAGAGGAGCTGTGCCAGGCAGCGGTGACTTGTTCCGATCTGCAGTGCTCTAGGGAAGGCAGCGGTGGCTCCGTTCCTCAGATGTCCTGGCAGATTTGGTGGCGCGTGCTGGAAGGAGGTGGGGGCGAGAGGGGAACGAGCGCATCTGCTTGCAGAACTGCTTCAGCCCTTGACGTAAGGATGCTGCTTCCATTCTCCTCCTACCTACAGACTGTGAGTAGATACCAGACGTTTAAAACACGTAGTAACAGGGATCCAAATCCTGCACCTGCCAACCTTGGTGCTGAGTCCTCGCTCACCTCGTCCAGGGCGCACGGAACAAAAGTCGACCTTGCCCGGTGCTGGATGTGGAATCCCAAACGCAGCAGCAGAAGTGAAAGAAAATCCTGGTGAGATGAAAGAACGCCAAAGAACTTGAGTGATCTTTGGCCATATTTAGAAATGCTGTAGGCTGAATGTTATATTGAAATCTTATTATAGATCACGGCAGATAAATTCCTCTGCTTCTGCTCATCGTTCAGATGTTTGGGAGGGGATTCATCCCAAGAGGCTTATCCTGGGACAGCTCTTGCCTGTGATCTCCCAGTCTTGGAAGCTGAAGCATGTTAACAAATTGTCCTGTATTTAATATTAAACAAAACAACAAGCTTCTGTGTTTCTAACCGTCACTACTGGGCTAGAGCTGAGCTTTGAAGGATGCTTTAATGCTGCTCTGGAAAGCAGAGCCCAGAAAGCCCGCGAGGCGGAGTGAAACTCGAGCAGCAGCAGCAGCAGACGATGAGGCCGAGGTCCACGGCTGCCTTTCTGGAGGCAAAAACCAGCCTCTAATCCAAGCGCAATGCCAAGTATGTTGCGAGGCTCCGCAGGGATTGAGTTCTGCAGAAAACCAACATTGTGCAAGTTGTCCAGGGCTCCTGATACGGACACAAACCGTCCCCAGGAACCGAGCCTGCTGCTGTGCAGGACCAAGAGGAGCCTCTGGTTGGGTGTCACGCAGTTTGTGATGGGAAGTGCTGCGTCTCAGGGCACTCGGCACGTGGTAGCTGGGCTGGACAGAGCCGGAGGCTGCGTGTAAAGAACATGCCTGGACCATCCGGGAGAGGAACTGGACGAGCTGCTGAGCCCTCCCAGCTTTAATTGCTTTTTCTCGCTTGGCACAAGCAATTTGGCATCCTGGTTGCTTTGCTGGTTTTCAGCAAAGGTTTTGGAGCCCTGCTTCCTGAACAGCCTGTCACCGAGTAAACCCTCCTGACTTTGTTTAAAGGATCTGTAGTCTTCAGCTCTGAACTCCTCGTTAGCCACAAGAAATGCAAAAGTACTGATGTGACGGAGGAAAACCGTGTGGCTTTCTGCAGAAGTGGCAGCTGCTTTCAAAAAGTAACTTACATTTTCCAAGGCCATCAGTTCATTGACGCTGTTTCTGCCCAGGTTTTCCATCTTTTCTGCCTGCCTGCCTGTTTTTTCCCCCCCTCACTTCTCTGCTCTGGTTTTCTGACCGCATCTCCTTGCCCGCAGTGCTACCAGATCCTGAATTTGTGGGCTTTTCCCTTGGATAAAACCCCACCAAATGCAGCACTGCTGGGCTTCAGCTGTGTGTCCCTTTGGGGAAGGATTCTCTTGTGCCTACAGATCAGGAGTTATTTAAATATTTCTGCTTGGTGCTCTGCTGGATGACTGTAACGTGCTGCAGATTTTTAATTCAGCTGGAAAATGACTGTAAAGACGTGTAGGTGACACCAGCTGGCCTCTCCCAGGTATGGAAGATGAGCTTCATCAGCAGCTGAATGCTAACGAGCTTGCTGGTAACGGCAGGAGAGGAGTTCAGTCGATGGAGCAAATTGTTTTAAGGTTAAACCAGAGCCCTCGCAGCGACCTGAGACGGGAGCCTGGCACCAGGCAGTCCCTGAGCAGTGCTGGTGGTGGTGGTGTGACACCGAGCTCTGTCCCCACGAGGTGAACGATTTGGGCACCAGGCTGGGCTGAGGATGGCTGCACAAAGTACCTGAGCAGAGGCACCCCACCCCGGGCAGGAATGAGGGGGCCAGGTCGCTTGGGAGCATCCCCTGACCTTTTACACTCCTCGTGGTTGTTTTTTTTTTTTGCAATACCAAGCAGGATTATTAGGTCAATCGTTTCTGTAATCTGCAGGGGATTACACTGCTCTGCAGCTGCTGTAAACTATAGGGGCTTTCCCTCTTTCCCTTGAAGAAAAAAAACCAACAAACTCTGTCCTCCAGAGGCTCTTTAAAAAAACCTCCTTTCCCTTGGTATTCTGCCTGTAATTCCTCCCGTTCCCCTCCCACCCCCCTGCGCTCGCTGGCTCAGGTTTGAACCCAGCCCTGGAGCTCTCCGGCACGCGGAGGGCTTGGCAGCGGGGCTGCTCTCACCCCAAAGTCCTGCTCCCCAGCTCAGACCCCAAAAAATAAAAAAGGGGGATGTCTGGGGAGGGGTCCCAGCCCCTTCTGCCAGTCTGTGCTGCTGCCTCGGCACGGAGAGCCACGGGTGTAAAAGCTGCCCCTTTGCGCCCGGGCTGCCGGCTTCTGCTCGGGTAGGAGCTGGTGCTGCCCCTGGCTTTGAGTGAATAAATCCAATTTTCGGAGCTGCTCCCACAAAGCCTTGCCCTTGGGGTGAGCCTGGGTGAATCGGGGCAGAAAAGCTTGGTTTCCCCGAGGGGGAAGAGACGCTGCGCTCACCGAGGCTTTGCTGTTTCTAAGGGCTCCTTGGGACCCTGGGGTAAGCAAATATCTGGCTCCCTGCTTAATCCTTGCTGTAACATCAGCTTGCCTGCATCAGCCCTAACCACCAGGGCCTTTTTGTCTAGAGGAGAAGCTGTTTTGGTGAGTTTTGTCTCTGCTTTTGGTGGTTTTTGTCTCTCAGCTGCGCCCAGCGCCCTTTCCCAGGCTGTCACCCCCGCGGGTCCCTTCGGCTCCGTCTCCCGGCCCCCCCTCCTGTGCCAGCCGTCTCCCCGCTTTAGGTAATCCCTATTTTTTGCATGCATTGCCTTAGTGCTCGGAGCTGTGAAGGGTTCGGAGGCGGTTCCTGTGAGACCTGCGTGCAATAATTACACCAAGTGCGGGTGCTGCTTTTAGCAGGCTGATTTGCGCGTTCCGCGCTCCCAGTCAGCAGCCGTGCGCCGAGCTGCTGCTGCTGCTGCTGTCAGGTTTTTATTCCCTGGCTGGCGTGAACAAAGCTGCCTCTGTAAGAACTGACAGCTTTGTAACCCGGTTTCACCCTGCAGCAGGCAGGTGAAGTGCCTTGCTGCGATGTGTGAGGGGTTTGGACACAATCCTCCGAGGGCAGGAGGTGGCCGGAGTGAGCGGGGCGATGCGCTGCTCTTCGGAGTGCCCAGCTCTGCTTTCTAGCCCAATTTAAAACCCTGACCACTGGAAAAAGACACAGCAGTTTGTCACCTTGTCACCCGCAGCCCCATAAGCCAGGAGGAGGAGAAGGGATTTGAAATCCTAGAGCAGGAATCCTCTGCAGGGGGGGCTGAGGATGCGGAGAGGGACAGCGCCCATGGCACCAGGGGCTGGAATCCCATCAGGGCTGGTTGGAGGTGAGCTGAGACACGCAGGGGATGCTCACATCTCAGAGCTTTTCATCTGAGCAGTCCCTGGGAGAAAAGAGAACCTGGGAGGAGAGCGAAAATCCATGCATTTGTGTCTGCCTCACCCCAAAACCCGCCTGGGTCACAGCCCCTGCCCTGCCCCCTTGCCTGGGTGCTGCGGGCAGGGCTGGGGGTCCCTGCTCTGCTCCTCCAGGAAAAAAAAAACAAAACAAAAAAAAAAAACAAAAAAAACAAACAATAGGAGGCGAGGGAAACGTGCTCTGATGCTGCCACCTACCCGTGGGCAGCTCTCACTGCTGGGCGATGGGTTCATTGCGGGTTTAATGCGCTCTGTGTAGGTCAGGCTCAGTTCAAAGGCTCTGGTCCGATGCTGAATTGCAGGAATAGTTGTGGGAGGGCAGCTCCTGCCCTGGGGCATGGGGATTTTTCCTCCCTCCCATCCCTGGTTGCAGAAGCTGCCCCCTGGGGCTGGGAAATGCCAGGCTCTGCAGCTGGCAAGGCGAAGGCACGGGCTGGAGGTGCTCGGGGTCATTCCTCTTCCCGACGGCTCTCTCCTGGCCGCAGGAGGGTTGTGCACCACGCAGGCAGGTCCTGCAGGGCTGAGCCGGGCTGCTCTGACCTCTGCCAGGAGCTAACGGGGGATTTGTTCCCATTTTCCTGTTTATATCAGGAGGGACAGCCCGGCCTTCTGCTCTGCCTTGGCACGGGAGGTGTGAAGCGAATGAGAAACGCGCTCTGCAGCGGGGATGGATGCCCTTTGGCTAACCCTCTTTCCTTTTTCCCCCTTTCCAGGTGTGGCAGATCCCCGAGAACGGACTCACCCTGTCCTTGACAGAGCCGGTGGTGGTTCTAGAAGGCCATTCGAAGCGAGTGGGCATCGTGGCTTGGCACCCGACTGCGCGCAACGTGCTGCTCAGCGCAGGTACGGGGTCACCTCCCGGCCACCTCCGCCTCCTTTCACTGCTGCCGTGTCCTGGAGCAGGGATTTGGAGCCTGGCTGCTCCTTTCCCTCTCCCGGCAGCTTGGGGCCAGTGAATCACAAACCCGTGACGGTTCCTCGGAAGGCTGGGACACGTGGCTCAAAGCCCTCTCCGCGTCCCAGCCTTTTATCCCTGCTTTTACAGGGACGAGAACCAGGAAGCTGAAGGCATGAATTACTGTATGAAAACTGCCCCAGTTTTCATCCCAAGCTCCATCAGCTGATAACTATTTGCATACACGCTCCCCTCCTTCCTGTTTCCATGTTTTTATTTCATTTATTAAAGGCCCAAGTGTTTCTCCTTTTCGCTGGTCCCTGCAAGGTGTCCTCCTGGTCCATCCCCAAGCTTTCAGCATTTCCCAAACCGTCTCCTTGGCCGGCCCGGTCTATGCAGTCAGATTCTTTTGACCACTGAAAAACAGTCAAATCATGATGGAAATAAAATGGAAAAGTCATTATCCATTAGCTCACTCGGAGGCTTTCATAGCATGACCTTTAGGCTGGAGCCTAATAAAAGAAGCAAATCGTTCCGGCCGCAGTCAGCTGAGCTCTGTGGGGTTTTGGGGGGTGTAAACGCCCCCTGAGGTACTGGCTGGCTTTTGATCTGGTTTCCCCAAAAACGCTTTGATTGCAGACCCTGTGGCACTGAAATTAATGAAACTTGGTGTGAGAATACACAAAAGGAGAGGTTTGTTCTTCCTAGGTAGCTTTTCCAGACTGCTGCGCTCACAAGCAGCAGGATGTGTGTGTTGGGGCAGCCTGGGTGCCATCAGGTCGTTGTGGTCCCCAGGGCTCCTCTTGGTGGCGACAAACCGATGCTGGATGTCCCAGGCTGTTTGGGAGGGACACAGTGATCATTATTTTAGCCTCAGCGTGTTTTCACCCCTCCTTGAGCGTTAGGGAAGCCGGATAACTCAGCGCTGGGCTTTGTTCCCTCACCTGGCGGACTGACGGCTCCTCCTGCCCTACCTTCAGCTTCTTCTCCCCTGGGGACCTCTCACGCTGCCCCAGAGCCTTCTCGAGCTGCTGCTGTGATATTTTCAGCCCTCCCCTGCGCTGCCAGCCCTGGGCTGCCTGCGTGTGGGGCTCTCTGGCTGCTTTGTCCCAACTCTGAGCCTGCATCTGCCTGGGGCTCTGCGTACATAACCGTGTTTAAGAGACTGTGCCTGAGGCACTGGAGCTGCAGCAGGTTTTAGTCCTTGTTCTCTGCCTCTGGCTTTTTTTCTCTTTCCGCCACGGTTGTGATTTGTACCTGCTGTTTTCTCTCCCAGGCTGCGATAACGCAATCATCATCTGGAACGTGGGGACAGGCGAGGCCCTCATAAACCTGGACGACATGCACGTGGATGTGATTTACAACGTCAGCTGGAATCGCAACGGCAGCCTCATCTGTACAGCTTCCAAAGACAAGAAAGTGCGAATTATTGACCCCAGGAAACAAGAAATCGTTGCCGTAAGTGTGCAGAGTAATTCCCCTACAGCAGAGGGTGAATGCAGAGCGAGCCTTTGAGCCCAGTGCGTGCTCTATTTTGTCATGTTCAAAGCGAGGAAGAAATTACAAGAAGGAGAGCAGCGGCTGAAGGATTTGTCTGGGTTTATTGGAATTAGTGTTTGAACTAGGATTTTCGGGCTCGGTTTTAAAACCTGCCGGAGTGTAATTCCGCATCTAATCCTCCTGCATAATTACGCTTTCAAAGTTGTGGATGCAAAGCGGAGATTTAGCAGCCCGCGTATGTGTTGTAGCTTGCAAAGGAGTCTTCCTTCAGCCTTGTAAGAATCAGGTAAAGCTGAAACGAAACAGCTGCGACTACTTTTGTTGCTTATTAATTGGTTTCTTCCCTCGAGCATCAGGCAAAGATAGTTGGACGTTGCTCCGTGTAGCCGGCATCCTCCGTGGAGGATCCACGTGTGCCAGGGACTTGGTGCAGCCAGAAGAGCTGCACCGCTTGGGCTTTTATTGCCTTGCTAGAGGCTCATTTCTAAATCTATTTCAGGAGAAAGAGAAGACCCACGAGGGAGCCCGGCCCATGCGAGCCATCTTCCTCGCCGATGGAAACATCTTCACCACCGGCTTCAGCCGCATGAGCGAACGGCAGCTCGCCCTGTGGAACCCGGTAGGTCCCTGCCCTGCTGCTACCTGTTGTAGCACCCACGAGCTGCTAACCAGGGCCTGCCATCACCTGCTGCACTCCTGGTTTGTAAACCTGAGGGTATTCCCTCTTCTGGCTACGTCTGAGCCTGCTCAGCCTTCCTGTGCCAGAACATCTGGCTGGTATTTGGGTTTTGTGTTCACTCGGTGAAGGAAATTCTGTGTGAAGGGCGCTCCTTCCTCTCTGAATGTTTTACGCACGGAGCAAGACAGCAGCAAGCTCGTCACACTGGCACAAGGCACTCACCAGCATGGCCGTGTCATGCCTTTCTCTTCACTTTGTGAATTATCCTGGTTTTAATGTGCGATGAAAACATCTTCGGGGAGCGAATGAGCTGGTGAAATATCTACAGCGCTTGTTAATCTAACATATAGAGCCCTCCGGGTGGGGAAGCCACTGCTGAGTGTCCCACCAGCTCCAAAGAGCTGTTAATAATACAGATCTCGTGTGAACACGAGTTGTTCTGTTCTTCATTAACAACGGATTTATTTTTTTTTCATTTCCAGAAAAACATGGAGGAGCCAATAGCCCTCCACGAGATGGACACCAGCAACGGGGTCCTGCTGCCCTTCTACGACCCGGACACCAACATTATCTACTTGTGTGGCAAGGTAAGGGGGACCTTTTAGGACGATTAGGCTTGTTAAAATGACATCTGATTGAACGAACAATGCCGAGGAAGTGTCCACCAAGTGTCTCACTGAAAGGGGCAGGACTAGAAATTTAGTGCTGCGGTGCTGGCTGGGGTTGAGGACAAATCTGAAAAAATCCAGGCTGCTCTGAAATCAGTTTGATCCTCACTCTGCAGCACCATGCAGAGACTCTGAAGGTCTGGTATGTAATGGGATGTTTCTGTGAGATGGATTTACTCAGGTAAAGCTGCTCTTAGTGCAGCAAGTCACACACTGTCATTAAAACATCTTTCGTTGTCGTTGACCTGAAAGGTTGTGCATTAATGTGGGAGGAAGGTGCATTTCGGATGATGTTATCCTTGCTCTTGATGATGATGGAGCGTGTAGCAATACTCACTCGAATTTTGTGGGGTTAAATAAAAGAAAACTGGAATCACACGTGCTCCTTTGTAAAAGCAATTTGTAGGCATTGAGTGCTCTGAAGCACTTCTGAGCGCCACGGCTTTGGACGTGGTACAGCCAGGAGCTAAAGACAAGACAAAGATGAACAAGGAATTAAAAAAAAAAGAAAGGATCCATAAAAGAAAACTCAACAACCCTGTCTTTGTGATGAGAACTACTTGTTCTGTAAATACTCGTTCTGTACCTCTGCTGCCTCCTCCGCTGCCGCAGAGATGGTGGTGGAGGAGGATCCTCTGGAGTCAAACAGAGGATTTGGTTTTACAGCCTTTGTGCCCGGCTCTAGTTCTAACTGGGTGTGCAGATAATTTCCTGTTCTTGTCAGTGCTGAGTGTTATAAATCTGCTTGTGCACCGTTTTTAAGATTATTTTGTGTGCAAGATCACCTGTCATGTAGCTAAATTGCACAGAGCACCAATATGTTCAGTTTTCCTTTTCAAAATGTTTTAAAACAAACTAATTAAAAAAAAAAAGAAAAAAAAAGAAAAAAGCTCTTAGTGACTTTGCTGAAAAGCAGGAATCTTCTCCTTACTTTGGGGAAACCGAGGCAGCAAGTTTAGCTTTTTCACAAGAGAAAATGTGATATTTGAGCAGACAGCAGCGTGCTGCCAGCAGCCGCAGGTGAGACCTTATCCTGGAAAGCAGCAGGAGCTTTAGCTTAGGGAAGAAGAAAGCTGTATATAAACCATATAAACCGTCCTGCTGTGTGGTGGCATCCCTGGAAGGAGAGGGAATCGGGCGAGAGCGATACCTGCCCAGCCCAGGAGGGAACGGGTGCGTGGGCCCGCGGGGTGCTGTGTCCCCACAGCCTCCAGAGGGGTCCTTGTTGGTGTCCTGCAGGGTGACAGCAGCATTCGCTACTTCGAGATCACGGACGAGTCCCCCTACGTTCACTACCTCAACACCTTCAGCAGCAAGGAGCCGCAGAGAGGGATGGGGTTCATGCCAAAGAGGGGCCTTGACGTGAATAAGTGTGAGATCGCCAGGTAAGGCCAGCAC